TCCTTGGGATTTTAGGTACGTAAGTACACGCACCTGGAGTGGTTTTCAAGCCACCAGGGTATTTTTGTAAGAGAAAAAATTTGTCTAATATGTTGTATGTTAAATTAGGCATCATTGCAGAAGCGACTCTGACTTTAAAGATAGGCAGTTTGCTATTTCCCAATATTTTCCTCTGTCCTAGCTCAGAGGCTTAGTACGAGATGGCATATCACTCACCCGTCCGTGCTTACAGATGTAGTCGAATAATTCACCTCCGGAGACATATTCCATGACCATAAAAAAATCTGTTGGAGTGCTGATCACCTGGTATCTTTATTTGCAAATGAATAAAAGTTCATAAAAAATGTTACCTTAAGCAAAATCAAACTAATATATCTACTCTTGCTACCATTTTATAATCCAGTGCTCTACAATATTTTAAGATGGTAACAAATTATAAATGCTATCAAATAATCACAGGGCTATAAACACATGGTGTATTTTTAAATTACTCTACTCTGGAGGATCGTGGACTTTCCTTCAGATCCTCCCTTCTGTGTTACCTTAGTTATCGAAATCTGTCAATCTTCAACAACTAAAGTAAGCAATAGTCCAAGGAGATGAGGTGTCATGTGTTTAACATAAGTAAAACATGTTCTTGGATATGTAAAAATGATACCAGAAAGATACAATGAGCAAAGTCTAAAAAGTGGGCAAATGCCACTTTCTTCAATCAAAAAAAAAGGCAATAGCAAGCTTTTCCCTAAAAAATTACAACATACACATATACAACTCACCAAACCAAGTTTTGAGAACTTTGAAAATTATTTAAATATAATATTAATGTTTTAAATGAATGCTGCATTTAACATTTATATAAATGAACTGTTACACTTTCTTGGGAGGTTGAGGTATTGAGGTATTAAATAGGCCTGGTTTAATCAAGAACCTTCTTTTTTTTTTTTTTTTGAGAGGTTTTTGCTATAGGGCACGTATGCTCACCAGGAACACAAAGAGACAGAGAGAAATCACCCCCAGGGGGAATGGCCATGCCACAATCCCTTTCCCTCTATTTTCCTCCTCTCAGGATCTTGGGCATGCAAGCACACGTGCCCAACGTGAGTTTAAGCCACCAGATGTGGGGCTCGAACTGCAGTCAACTACATGGGAGTCCAGTGACATACCAATTACACCAACTGCTGGTCTCAATCAAGAAACTTTTATGACCATATATACATACAAAAATCTGAAGGATGTGGCAAAGATTTATTTTTCTTCCATTTCTAACTATCACATATTTTTAAATAGATTGCTTTGTTTACAAGGAATTATTTATAGTTTGGTTGATTATAAACAATTTCTAATATATATTGAGTTGGTACTTAAGTATAGCTGTGCAGCTTTAAAAGGCATCCAGTAGATGGCGCAAGAGCTGACGTCACCTTCTAGGCAGTATACCTGACACAAGATGTGTCAGAAGCAGGAAAACCTTCCATAGTTTGTCCACCTAGATAAGCACCTTTTATTAAGTGCACAAAAGGAAGTAAATGCTCGCTGGTGGGCCTGATTACCATTCCCCATTAAAGAGGAGGAGGAAACTGGTGATATAATTACATACTATACATATTATGAGAGAACATGTAATATTAAACACTTTTAAAAAGTAAAATAGTAAAGTTATAGTATTGAAACTGACCATACATTTTTCAGAAGAAATAGTTCTGTTAGCAATCTTTAAGCTTTGAACATAAACATGGCAAGTTATCCTACTTTATATGAACTGTGGAAAGGCAATTTTATCTGAGAAGCCTAGAAGAAATGGTTTATAAAAGCTATCTTGGGACCAGCAGTTGGCGTAATGGCTGTGTCGCTGGACTCCCATGCAGCCAACCGTGGTTCAAATCCCAGACCCAGTGGCTTAAACTCACGCCGGGCGTGTGTGCGTGCGTGCCCAAGATCCCGAGAGGAGAATGGAGGAAAAGGGATTATGGTGTGGCCATCCCCCCTGGGGCGCGATTTCTCACTTTCTGTCTCTCTGTCTCTTTCTGGCAAGTGCACATGCCCTATAGCAAAAACCTCTCAAAAAAAAAAAGCTATCTTAATAGGCACCAAACTGATCAAATAAGTTGAATAATATGGGACAGGATTATCTACTATATCACCTCGCTGTAAGCTGATCTCATTTATTAATAACCTCCAACCACTTTGTGCTCTGTACATCCTAGACAGGACACAAAAGAAAAGTGCTGAAATTCTAATCAATATATGTAGCTGCTGATTTGCCTGAGCATATCACATGTCCTGTTGGATTGAATTATTTCATGAAACTTCTAACTCTATAGCAGCCATTATCCACCAAAGGCCAATTGAGAGCAATGAAAACCACAGTTAACAGGAGTGGGTGCTTACTATTTGCCGGACACTGAGTTATGAAATGGTGCAACTCCCTATTTACTGAGTAGCTACTCATATTGCACTTGATAAGATCAACAGTGGGTCCCTCTGGCCTAGCTACAGTGGCACAGGTTGTGGGGCACGGGTGCATGATACTGGAGTCCTGAAGGGGCCCTGGGCTGGGATCCCAGGTTGACTTGAACATAGTAGGCACACACAAGCCCACCCATGATTCTGACTAGCTGTGAGAAGATCTTGCACTGTGAGACCCTGTCAAGGGTACCTTTCTGTATCTATGTCTATCTGGTTCTCTCTCACTCTTAAAATATAAACATAGGGACCAGCAGGTGGAGCAGTGGTTAAGTCACTAGACACTCCCACATGGCTGACCATGGTTCAAGTCCCAGACCTGGTGGCTTGCTTTCTCACCTTCCCTATATGTATATGTATATGTATATGTATATGTATATGTATATGTATATGTATATGTATATGTATATGTATATGTATATGTATATGTATATGTATATGTATATGTATATGTATATGTATATGTATATGTATATGTATATGTATATGTATGTGTGTGTGTATATATATATGTGTGTGTGTGTGTGTGTGTCTCTATATTTGCAGAGCTTACAGTCTTGCCAGAAAGACAGGCATTAAACAAGGATTCTCCAGACACAGTAGTCTCCTGATTTAAAATCTGCAGGGGTTCCCATTGTTCTTAGGTCCTAAATAAACCAAGTCCCTGCCGTCTCTGTTGTTTTGTCTCACCTTTGATTCTCACCACTAGAGTCAAATGACTATCTTTAGTGATGGGTCATAATGCACTCCCTCCTGCTACAAGCTGCTTCCGCTGACCTGAATGCTGTTCTATGACCTGTCCCCACCCTTCAGCTGGTGACTAATCATCTTTTAGATCTCAACTTAAAGGTCACTTTCTAAGTGCAGGTCAGGTGTGTTTTTGTTTTCACAGATGTATTTCCCTTAGCTTCAGAGCATGAACCTCAGTTCGTAATTGTGTTGTAATACAATGATAATTTCATTAATGAATATACACTTAGCAAACTGCCTATAACAAAGTAAGTTTTTAAATAAATGTATGAATTAACACTTATATATAATATGAGCAGCTTAAATCTAAAACCAGAGTAATCTGAGACTGAAAAATAACCCACTAGAATGGGGTGGGGACAAAGGAAAAAGGACACAGCTTCATATTAGGTACTTAGTACAAAAGGCAAACTGCAGAATTATGTTGTAAGCCTAGCCAGAGTAAGTCAAATCTCTTGTATCTTCTAACATAATAATCATATTGAAGCACTATAAGAAATTCAATCATGAATCACTCATACATATCAGCATTATGTTCTTAATACAACAGAAAAAAATAAACTAATGTGCTTTAGAAAAATTTTCAGAAACAGCATTTCTAATTAAGTATGAAGAATTTAATTATCCAGAAAAACCCTGAGCATTCCCCAGAGTTTGCCAAGTCATATGCATTTTTAGACAATTTCATATAAAACTCAGGAAAAAAAAAAAAGAAATCCTTCTAAAGTTGGACAAAATATCAACATTCATCAGCATGCTTTTTCAGTGGTCAAAGCCACTGACATTTAAAAAATATATAGCTGTATAAAGAATAAAATGTTTCTTTGAACAAAACTCAGTAAAAAGGAAATGTAATGACTCATTATTCATGGCTTATAGCACTCATTTTCACTGGCCCATGAACAATCTTTACTTAGCTAATTATTATTATTATTATTTTATAAATTTATTCATTTATTTTAATTTGACCAGAGAGAGAGGGAAAGTGAGAAAGAAAGCCGCCAGGTCCAGGACACGAACTGTGGTTGGCCATGTGGGAGTATCCAGTGCCTTAACCACCACGCCACCTGCTGGCCCCCAGCTAATTATTATTTTTAATAACGTAATAAACACCTACAAAGTCATCACCCAGACAAAGCCAGGACTTGGACAACATCTTCCACCTAACTGCATAGGGCCTTGCCCTCCCCATTCCATCGCTTCTCCTCACCCTAGGTGGCCAGCGTCCTGAATCCCCTGTTCACCAATCTGTTGCTTCCTCTTTCAGATGGTTTTACTTACATATGTGCATATGCATGTGTGTGTGTATCCCCCCTTCATATTTATACTTCATATATATGAATAATACAGTCAAATACATATTTTTAATTGTTCTTAAATGTTTGGAAAGAGCATCATGGTATATGTAACATCTTGAGCCTTATTTTGAGATTCATGCATATCGTCGGGTGTGCACTGGTCAAATCCGATCTGACCATTGTAGTTACTCACCTACGCTGTTAATGGAGTGACGATTTATTCCTCTACTCTGTCACTGGAGGTTATGTGTGCTGTGTCTACATTTTTGCTGCTACTGCTGCTGTGTATATTCTGGTACAGGGCAAGATTTTTCTCTCTGATATCTACCAATGAAATCACTGAGTCACGGTGTGTATGAATGCTTATTTTTAGGAAATAATGCCAACTGTTTGCCAAAGAGAGTTTAGCAAAATCTTTAGAAAGCTTATGCATTTATATATTTCTTTGCAAAACACCATACATTTGCTGGTGAAATGCTTATTTGTGTCTTTTGCTCTTCTTTATCGGGTTGATGGTGCTTTTCTCATTTAGGTACAAACAAAATAAATCAATATTTTCTAGACAATTCTAGAATACAAGTAATATACTATAATGGATCATCTTTCTACTTTCCCAAAAAAGAAAAATACCCTGATATGTTAATGGATAACTAGAAAAAGAATATTACGAAAAGGAACCTAGGAAAATCAAAGTCCTGACTAACCTTTAAAGTAAATGTTAGTGATAAGGTTCAACCTCTAAAGCTGCATTTGCCATTTGAAATAGTACCAAATGTGAAACAATTTTTAATGCTAAACCAAGAGTGTACAGAAAAGAACCGATAGAAGTTAGAAGATCTAAACACTCACGGAATTTGAATATAAAAAAAAAATTTTCATAAAAGGTTAACTAAAGATAAACAATCATTTGTAAAATTTCTTTGAACCATTTCAAGTTTTCTCTTTTGTACAGTATACTTACAGTTTGATAATATGAGGATGACGAAAGAGCTTGAGATTTTGAATTTCTCGTTTTATTTTTCCAACAACATCTAAACTGCGAATCTTCTGTCTATTTAAAATCTTAACTGCTACTTTATGGCCTGTTAGTTGATGTTCTCCAACTAAAAAAAAAAGAAAGAAAGAAAATGTGCTGTCATATCGACAGAAGCATTTGTTCATGCTTCCTCCCACTGTGCCCTAAATTTCTTTATTCATAGAAACCACTTGTACATCATTTATTGTACAGAACTAAAATTCCCCTTTTTACTTCTGTCTCTTCTCCTGGAGTGTGTACTTCTTTGGGACAAAAACTGTATCTTTGTCATCTTTGTATCCTCAGTCCCAAGCACACAGATGTCCATTAAATATTTGTGGGAGTGATTACTGAATTCTATATACCAATATAATCCACTTCAGAACACCTTTTGGACAGAACGAAATTGTTCCATCTCTTTATTCTTCTTCTGCTTGATGCCAGTCTTTGTATTATAGAATTGCTGTAATAAATTAAAAACTCACAAAAAAATTAAAAGCTCACAAGTAGTTTTCTTACTATTCTACCAGAAATCTACATGTAGCCCTTTTTTTTCTTCTTTGCCTTCTTGTTTGATGAAATCTCTCTTTCAAATCCTCACAGTATGGGGCCAGCCAGTGGCATAGTGGTTAAAGTGGCTGGATCCTATTCGAGTCCTGAGCCCAGTGGCTTAAAAAATGTGCCAAACATGTGTGCTCAAAATCCCCACAGGAGAATGAAGGAGAAGGGACTGTGGCATGGCCATGTTCCCCTGCCCCCACTCCTGGGGGGTGCCTTCTCACTTTCCTTCTCTCTCTCCCTCCCCCTCCACAGCAAATGCATATGCCCTATACCAACATTTAAAAACAAAACAAAACAAAACAAAAATAAAAACCTCATAGCAGGTTTTTAAAGCTCATGGATTCTTTACCATTTTTAGACTGCTATAAATACTTGTGTTTGGGACAAATCATAGGATCTGAGATACCAGCTCATACCCTCGTCGAATGAGGTAGCCAGTGCTCATCTGACTCTCCCAGAAAGAATGTGAGCACAGTGCTGTGTACATAAATATGCAGGGTTAATCAAAATGAGCTTTTCCCCTTTTTCACACGACACATTCAGGGTACTTACACCAATAGTGAGATTCCTAAATACCGTTCATAGGAAAAAGCCCTCAATGACGGAAGGAAAATGTTGGCTACTTCTTCTCATTTCCTCTTTGCTAAACCTTCACTACTCCCCTCAAAACACCTACCTAACCCTAATTCTTTTCAGCAGACACTACTTGTTTTATTATCTTGGGGAAAGTAAAGTCATTAGAAGTGATTTCCTTGACTTGGAAGGTTTAATTATATCCACGGTCTTTTTCTCAGTCTCAAGATGTTGCTGACACTCCTCCTTCCAAAATCAGTTTCATCAACTTGTGCCCCTGCACCCTTATTTGACCATTCTCTTTTCTAACAGCTTTCTGCCTACCACCGCCCTCCCCATATGGCACTTATTGTTAAATGGAGAACTGAAAAGTATCCATGGCTTGATAATTGAGTGTTTTGTAAATTCAGATGGCAGTGAATTAGGAGTGAAGATGGGGAAGGATGAGAAGAAATAAAGTCCTGTTTTGAGAAATTTTGATGTTGGAAACAAGCCACCAGGTCTGGAACGCAAACCATGGTTGGCCATGTGGGAATGTCCAGCACCTTAACCACCAAGCCACCTGATGGGAACTCTCTAGTCAAATTAAAAATAATAATAATAGGATCCAGCAGGTGGTGTGGTGGTTAAGATGCTTGGCTCTCACATGTCCGACCGTAGTTCGAGTCTCGGATCTGGTGGCTTGCTTTCTCATTTTCCCCTTCTCTCAATCTCTCTGTCTCTTTGGGCAAATTAAAAAATAAATAATCATAACAAATAAAATTAAATAAATAATTTAAATAATAACAATAATAAATAAAATTAAATAAAATAGTTCTTAAAAATATTTAATGAAGATGGAAAGTTACTTTCTTAGCATATGAAACAACAAATTGGGAGAAATCAAGTTAAAGCAACCTTACTCACTACTATTCCAAAATATGTTTCCAGGACTATAAATAAATATTATGAACTTCAGGGAATTTCTATTCAATTAAAATAATCTAAATGGTTTCTTGGTGTGAGTAGCTGATTACTCACCCTTGGAAACTTTATAATATGAAAACATTTGGCTGGATGGCCTAAAAATGTTTCTCTAGTCAAATCCCTAATGGCCTCAATGAAAGTAACCAGCATTGGGACCAGAAGTTAGCATAATGGCTATGTCGCTGGACTCCCATGTAGTCGACCACAGTTCGCATTGTAGACCCGGTGGCTTAAATTCACACCGGGTATGTGTGTGTGCATGCCCAAGATCCCGAGAGGAGAATGGTGGAGAAGGGATTGCAGCGTGGCCATCCCCCCTGGAGGGTGATTTCTCACTTTCTATCTTTCTGTCTGTCTCTGTCTGTCTGGCGAGCGCACGCACCCTATACCAAAAACCTCTCAAAAAAGAAAGAAAGAAAGAAAGTAACCAGCACTAATCCCCTCTTGATAAAAGAGGCAAGTCATCCCTCTCCACTTGACAATTACAATTACTGTCTCTGAGAATATGAGATCCTTACAGCTTCAAAACAAAACAAGGACTCTAACAGGCAAGTGGACTCTAAGAAGACAAGGGTGTTTTGTTTTTTAATGCCACATTAGGTTAATCCTGAAAATAAACAGAAAAGTGAGTAAATTCATTCAGAAAATAACATGCTGGCTACAACAGATGAAGAAATAGCAGACTCATTTGTCTTGATGTGCAAAGAAAATTTTCTCTGTGAAACAAGAAAAAAGAAAGTCCATTTTTCTTTGAAATGACTAAATACACTTTGAAAAGCTAATTAGATATCTGTGTTAAGAGAGCTAAATGCACTAAAAAAATCCCTCTTTTTTTGCTGAACTAAACAAGCCTCTTTTGCCTAATAACTCTTTAAGTGAATTAGTACTTAACCATAATTAATTAAATCCAAATAATTTGTCATAATCACATTCCACCTGACAGCCAAGTGAATATTCCTAAAACTCTTGTAATAAAAACAGATTTGAGGCCCAGCCTAGTGGCACAGTTGGTGCCATGCTGGGCTCCGGGGCTGGAGGCCACATACCACCAGGTTTGAATCCTTGCCAGGTAGGCCTGGAACTTGCCCAGGATCCTAGAGAGCTGGCAGGCTGGGGGAGGGGGACCACAGTGTGGCAAGACCCTGTTAAGCAAGCTTGTGCTTTCTCTGTCTCTCATGAATACATGTGCATGCACGCACACTCCATCACCGGAAAATCATTCCAGATATTCCGAAATTTAAAAACACTGATTCGAGACCAAGATTTTCTTCTATTACAACATAAACTTTTCACTTGAATTCATCCAAGTTTTATTCCCACTCATTCCATCTAAAAACATCTGCTGAGTACCTTCTAAATGCAAGGACTGTATTCATCATAGACACAGTAAAAAGCTATTTTTAATAGGCCTCCAGGTTTTAGTGGGGAGAGGGAAGAGCAGCAGTAAAAGAGCTGAAACAAATTTGTATCGTATCATAGCTGGCTGAAGATCATACGGAATAAGATCATACTGTGTAACTGCTGTATTATTTACACTCACATTACACTTGGGACGCAAGAGGTGAATGAAGCATTCTATCACAACTCCTAGTTGTCCCCCAATGTCTTCCTTTCCCAACAGAAGACTCTTGAATTACATGTGAGCTTATGTCCACCCTGGAACAAATGGCATCCCAGCATCTCTTCTAGCTAGATGTGGCCTTATGAGTAGGTTCCAGCCAGTGACATATAAGCAGAAATGTCTCTGGAGGATTTTTTTTTCCACCTTTTCCTCTATCCAGAAGCCTGGAACATCAAAGTGACCACTCTAAATCCTAAGGCCAGGGTTAGGTTGAGGGAAGCAAGAGGAGAGAGAAGCCACACTCTTGACACAATCAGGCATGACGAGCTGAACCACCTGCTCATACTTTTACAAAAAAGCAAAATAGGGGGACCAGCAGTTGGCGTAATGGCTATGTAGCTGGACTCCAACATAGTCGACCACGAGTTGCGTCCCTGACCCGGTGGCTTAAAACTTACGCCGGACGTGTGTGTGTGCGCGTGCCCAAGATCCCGAGAGGGAATGGAGGAGAAGGGATTGCGGCATGGCCAACCCCTCTGGGGGGGGATTTCTCGCTTTCTGTCTCTCTGTCTTTCTGGTGAGTGCACGCGCCCTATAGCGAAAAACCTCTGGAAAAAAAAAGAAAGAAAGAAAGAAAGAAAGCAAAATACTTCTAACCTGTTTAAGCCACTCTTATTTTGAAGATTTCTGTGAAGCCAAATCTAAATAATACACTATTTGGAATAGTTTAAAACTTAAAAGATATGGACTTTACTTCATGCTGCCAGTTTTTCTGAGTAACCATGCACAAGACGATAGAAACAAATTATAATTTAGAACCTATGCAGGGACCAGCAGTTGGCATAATGGCTATGTCACTGGACTCCCATGTAGTTGACCGCGGTTCGAGTCCCAGACCTGGTGGCTTAAACTCACGCCGGGCACATGTGCGTGCATGCCCAAGATCCCGAGAAGAGAATAAAGGAGAAGGGATTGCAGCCTGGTCATCCCCCCGGGGGATGATTTCCCGCTTTCTGTCTCTGTCTCTATCTTTCTGGAGAGCACATATACCCATAGCAAAATATCTCTAAATAAATAAATAAATAAATAAATAAATAAGAACCTATGCAATTTCTTGAGTGAAAGTTAAAGAGCTCTATAAAATTATCACCCATTAGTGGTCCATTATGTTTTTCCTAATTTTCAGCCAAAATACACAAAACACTCTCTAAAACTAAGTAATTTTAGGGGAGAAAATCCACACTCAACCCAACTATGCCTTTTACTATTTTACATTTAATAAAATAAAGAGCTGTCACAAAAAAGAAGAAACAGAATTGAATTACATTGTTTTGGAAGACAGTACTGGGATAGAAATTCTTTCAACTAACAGAGCCATCTGATGTGGGAAGCTTTTCCGCATAAACTTTTTCATCACTGTGCC